GTGGGCCACGTCGAGACACGCAGTAGGCGGCGTTCGAAAGAGTGTCAAAAACTATTACAAAACTACTTAGATCATTTTTAAGGTTAGGTCGAACTGGCCGAAGGTCAGGTCACCAGAGACAAACGAAAATCATATTTCGCCGATGTTGACATTTTTCGACAAAGCGGCGCATAAGTCAGGATTCAGAAAGAGATTGAGCTAATTACAGCGCCGCAGCAAAGCGTATTTTCGATAACTCTTTTTATGCTCTCTCTTATTGACCAGTAAAACGCCTTTTGGGCGACCAACGGAGCGAGCGAGAGGATGGGCCTTGCACGTGCGAAATTGCGAGGGGGTACCTCCAACTAACTTGTGCACTGCACCCTACTAACCGGTCTTTAGCGATGTGCCAAATTTCAGCGCAATCGGCCTAGCCGTTCTCGAGATCTGGAAGCGGCACACTGCACGTGCGCACGTGCAAGCGGGGTCCAAACTGACTTTTGCACGGCACCGTACTAACTGGTCCCCAACCGTGTACCAAATTTGAGCGCAATCGGCCCAGCCGTTCTCGAGATCTGGGAGCGCCCCCTGCACGTGCGCACGTGCTGTAGCACCCCAACCTTAACCCGCGCCCAGATGGGGTCTGCCGAGCAACGCGGTCTGATGGGGGGGGCCATTTTGGCCCCCCCCCTCAGATCTCGAGAACCACGCAACATAGCGACAAGCGGTAAACGGTGTTGGATAGCCCCAACGGGGAACTACCTTGTGACCCAATTTCATTGACCTCGGTCAAACCGATGACGTCACAGGTCAGGTCAAAGGTCGAATTTTCACCGTTTACAGGCATTTCAAGAAATGCGTTGTAAAATCGTGTAAAATGCATTTCATTGAAAATCATCGATGGGGAAATGTTCTTCAAACACATATTTTGCTATTTGAGGTCACTGATACCAGGTCAGGTCACAGAGGTCAGGTCACTGGGGGGTCACAATATGAAAGTGTCATGTGATACATGTTTTATGGTCCATTTTACATGACAAATGCGATAATGTGGGTCAGACAGACTTTAGGGCCAGCTTAGGTCACGTTTTGGTCAAGGTCAGGTCAAGGTCAGGTCAAGGTCAGGTCAAATTAGGTCAAATTTCAAAGTTGATATTTTTGCATAAAATGGGTATCGATTCGATGCAGCTCGTCACGGGGAGTTCAATGGTGGTCTCCGTTTTGCGCTACGAGGTCTAGAATTGCTAAAAATTGAGTTCAAAAATTTGACGTCATCAATTTTTAACAGTTTTTTCGCTATAACTTGGCCAAAAAAAGAGGTATCGAGCTAAAATTTGGTATGTATATCGAAGAGCGCAGGGACTATCACATATATTCCGGTTTTTTTCGAAATTCGAAAAATTTTTGGAAAATTTTTGAGTTTTTCTAAAAAAATCAATTTTTTTGATTTTTTGGGGTCAAAATCCAAAAATTTCGAAAATCCGAGATAGCAGTTTTATAGCGCCGTCTTTTGTCTACACAACCACATAAAGAACTTTAAAATTGCTTGTTAACTGTAGAATTGGTGAGCGTTTCAAGATGTCATGTTTTTTGCTCATTTTTACTCGAACATGACCTCAGTTTGACCTCAATAACTCCTGACCTGAGGTGACCTGTGACTTGAAATTTTGTGTGAAGGTGTCAAATTGATGCCCGGTAAGGTACCCAAAATTTGGCGGCGCTGCGCGCCGCCGTTTTCTCGCTATTAAAGAAAAACCACAGGGGGGGGGCCAAAATGGCCCCCCCCATCAGGGCGCGGGTTAACACATGCAGATGAATTATCTGATGGAGACCTAACTGTGTACCGAGTTTCAATTCAATCGGCCCAACCGTTGTGCCGTTATTGAGGTTGCAATTTTGGGGGTTCTTAAAAAATGTCCAACTTTACCACGCGCCACGTGCGGTGGTTGGCAAGAACGCATGGTGGCCATCACACCACAGAACTTTTACGTCCAAGTGACATTCAGTAAAGAAGACCGCTTGTCAATCGGATGTCCCGTTCCTAAGATATTAGCTTTTGAAGAGCGTCCCCACGGCCGGCCGGCCGGCCGGCCGGCCGCTCATACTCAGGATTTTCCCTTAATTCAGTATGAGACTCCGCTCGCTTCGCTCGCTCCGTAATTATCTCAGATTGACCTAAGGTAAACGTTTTAGCCTCAAAATATACGTTTTCGCGCAGGACGTTCATCTGTAATACCTTTTGGCTCAAACCTGCACGAGATTAGTTTAACCGGCATCGTGTTCCATTTTTCGAGACAGACGAGTCAAATGAACTAGAATTTGACATTAAAAGGGCATTTTGAGAATTTGACCTAAGGTGAAGGTCATCTTAGCTGTTTTTGGTACACCTGTTCATAATCTTTTCTACACATCATGTGAAAAATTCAGATCAGGGCCGTTTAACTCAGGTCACCAGGGCATGTCAAGTGACTTAACCTAAAAAAAAAGTTTTAAGGCTCGCTATAGCTACACCGCCTGAACGATCACTTTTGAAACTTTCAGAGATTGATAAGACTAACAATATGTATAAAATGTTTATCTCGGACTTTTGATTTCTGTGACCTAAGGTCAGGCCTAACACACTGAATCGGGAAGATGCACCTGTGACCCTTCTATGTGCCCCTGTGCCCCTGAGGTCATCTCAGGTCATAAACGGTCACCAGTAGTTTTTTGGCTATAGCTTTTGATGAGACGTGCTAAAGCTGTGAAAACACGTCAGATGTGGTCAGCTCGACGATACAGATCGACTGATATGCAGCATGACCCTTTCTGGTCAGGTCACGACCTTGACCTGAGGTCAAATTTTCAAAATGGCCTTTCAAGGTCAACGTATAGTTCATTCGACGCGTCTCGACGAGAGGAACACGATACAGGCAAAATAAATATCGTCACTGTCTTGAGCTAAACGTTATTGCAGAAAAACGTTTTTCATAAAAACTGCTATTTTTTTAGTTTTTGCCCTCCGGAGGCTAAACCGTTGACCTGAGATCAAATCTGAGAGCAATACACAGAGAGGTCTGTAAAAGGGTTATCGAATGCGCTTTTCCGCGGCGCTGTAGCTCTATTGGTTTCTGAGTAAGCCCGTTGGCAGTTTCAAAAATTATTGAAATGGACTAAATTTGACCTTTGATGACCCCTGGTTACCTGACCTTTGACCTGACCTAAGAATTGAACGAAGTCCTTCCGTCATTATTTTTGACGCTCTTTCGATTGCCCCTTATCGCGTGTCGCTACGTGGCCCAGGAGCCGAGTTAGAGGGGGGACGTGAACAACATCAAAACGTATTGAAAACGCTGATCAATCGCTATGAAACCTACATTTTCGGAAAGAGCATTCTTTTCTGACAAATATCCACCCAAAATATTATCGAAAAGTCAATAAACTTTTGTGAAAATGACTCAAGCATACGACCGTGTTTTGTTAACGTTACAGGTATTTTTCGACAAAATCCGATCGATGGCTTATGGCCGGCAGGCCATACAACTTTTGACAATAGCTATCAGAGCATGGGCTGCAATGCACCGCCAGCAAAGGGGAATTCCAAACACTGAAAATAAACGCCTACCAGTAAACAGCACATTTTTGTACTAGGAATAACTCAGCTACTACTGGGCCGATTGCGCTGAAACTTGGACTGTGGGTGGAGGGGGCACTCATCTGGCGATGCATGGTCATGTGTGACAGGTAGGGTGGATCGATTGCACGTGCGCACGTGAGGGGCCCACTTATACATCTCAAGAACGGCTGGGCCGATTTCGCTCAAATTTTGTACACCGTTAGGAACAATTTAGAAGGGTGGCTGGCACAAGTCATCTAGAGTCTCAGTTAGCGCGTGCGCACGTGCAGCGGGCCGCTTTTATAGCTCAAGAACGGCTGGGCCGATTGCGCTCAAATTTGGTACATTACTTTAATCGAGTATGAGAAGGGTAACTACGTGTAGGTTATGAGTAAGGTAGGGTGTGGGTTGGGTAGGGTAGGGTAGGGTAGGGTAGGGTAGGGTAGGGTAGGGTAGGGTAGGGTAGGGTAGGGTAGAGTAGGGTAGGGTAGAGGTAGGGTATGTATATTTGTAGGTTAGGGTAGGGTTTTTAGCGGCGTTTCCGGTGGCGTTTACGGCGTTTCCGATTGGCGGTGGTTGGGCGTGCGATGCGGGCGGTTTTCTTTTTTTTTGAGGTTATATTTTTCATACAAATAAAAATATAACCTCATGCACCAAACTAATGGTCCCATGAACAATAGCCATCGAAACGTACAGTTATTGCGTGTATCCATCCATCAATCCTGGGTAGGGTAGGGTATTGTAGTGTATGTTAAGTTTGAGTACATAAGGGCCCAACATCCGAAAGACTCAAACAACCCCGGGTAATCAGCACCAGCATACCATACAGTTCAATTAAAACCAAATGTCAAACTTCACCTAGCTCATACAAATAAAAATATAACCTCATACACCCAAACAAATGCCCCCATTAACAATATCTATCGAATCTATACAGTTATCGCGCAAACATGGCCATCTAGTAGTCTGATAAAATAAACCTAAGGTAATAACATAACGGAGTTCAAAAGCGCCTGAATTACCTACTCCGCACGTGTTTTGATCACTGGAAATGTACGGTTCGGAGAAAACTTGTGTGAAAAGCCGCGAGAGAAATGTTCTCTGAAATATTTAACGGAATATAAAGGCACGTGCATCTACGGCGGCTGCGCTTTAAATCCATTCTTTCTTAGGTTTGTCAGGCTATAGTTATTGAGAAAAGCAACCATTTGAAAGCCTGAAACCAGAAAATTGCTCCGAGTGCCTAAGCCATACGAAGGAAGGAATTAAAAACAAAGATCGTCGAATCGAACGATACAGTTCGGTTAGCTTCGAGACTGCGTCCGTAGCTGTTGATAGCGGCGTTGTCATGGTTTCCTACCAAATATAGTTATCACAGTGAAAAAAAAATGAAAAGGGAGCATGGTAACACGATTTAGACAACGAATGATATTTTGACCGAGACATTAATTCGACATGATTCAACACTAACACAAATCAAAGCATGCATGCATATTCAATTAATATTGAATACATTGTAATGCAAAAATGTACAATATAAGTGTGCATTCAATGACTGAACGTTGATTGCACATAATTCATTTACACTTGAAAATCCAAAATATATCACGCACATCATTCAGCGATAGGCATAGTGATGGAAATTTAATGTACGAATAAGCGAAACATAAAACAATATATGCACATTGGCATTAAATACCTATTCATTTGTTAAATAGTAACCTACAAGGATTATGTGCATAAGTACCTACTCGTATATTCAGCCCCTGAATACGTTTGTCCTCCAACAATTGCACGATAAGATCAGTTCACCGTAGAATCAACACCCACACACAACAGGCCACCCGCCGGCTAAAGACGCACCTATGACGTCACAGGACACAGATTCACACCCGTGTGACGTCACGGGGTATCAAACCGTAGTTCTCTATCACAACTTCAGCGTCAAAAATGTGATAAAATAGTCTGCCAGCGATCATCACAGGAAGCCACATTGTGACGTCAACATTTCGCCACTTTGCGGCGTCGTATATGACGTCAAATAGTCTATCACCGGCAAGTTCATGACGTCACTAGTACGAACCACCAACGCTGGATAATGGGACGCCACTGGTCTCACTACCAGAATTCAATCTATGACGTCACAACTCCAACTATGTAGATTCAATTTACGACGTCACAAGTCCAACTATACGGAGCCACCTTATGACGTTGCATCCCTAACAGTGATCACTCTATGACGCCATAATACAGCACCTCTCCAACCCGGTAGAGCGGGTGATCCCGCTCCAGTCAGCTGTAGTAGCTCTTATAACGAGTCCTCTTATCTGGTGCAGGGAATAATCCATCTATGAGGGTATGGATATGAGGCGGCCTACTCATATCTGGTACAGGGGGTAATCCATCTATGAGGGTATGGATATGAGGCGGCCTACTCATATCTGGTACAGGGGGTAATCCATCTATGAGGGTATGGATATGAGGCGGCCTTCTCATATCTGGTACAGGGAATACTCCATCTATGAGGGTATGGATATGAGGCGGCCTTCTCATATCTGGTACAGGGAATACTCCATCTATGAGGGTATGGATATGAGGCGGCCTTCTCATATCTGGTACAGGGAATACTCCATCTATGAGGGTATGGATATGAGGCGGCCTTCTCATATCTGGTACAGGGAATACTCCATCTATGAGGGTATGGATATGAGGCGGCCTTCTCATATCTGGTACAGGGAATACTCCATCTATGAGGGTATGGATATGAGGCGGCCTTCTCATATCTGGTACAGGGGGTAATCCATCTCCCAGGGGTGTGCCCGCGGCTCAGGCCGGTCTACTGCACAGCGCGCGCGCAGAGCACGCAGTGTGCGCTCCGTGACGTCACGGCAGTCAATGACCTCCAGGTGGGTCAGCTGGCGCAGGTATTCAGCCACGTATCTGCCCGGCAGAGAGTACAGCGAGGTGAGGGTCGGGAGTTCGATTCTGGGGCGTGGACAAAGCACTATCAGTGTGATCGCGGTGGGATCTGACAACTGACATCAACATCACTCAATATGAACATATCCATTAGCATCAGCTGACGTCAAGACACCCTGAACATCAGCCAACACAACACACACCCGGCTGGCGATACAGACATCGGACATCACAACGTTCTGAGTTATGACGTCTCTACAGCTCCTCAAAATATCGCGACGGACTACCTCTGGTACCCTCACATCAGCAGCTGACGTCCATTAATCACTGCCGAGTCTATCTTATTTAGATATTCATCTAATCGTGCGTCTATCCATGTAGGCATGGTTCTTCAAGACAGAACGTGAATACTAACCTATTGTATACATGCACGTTGTTCAAACAACGTTCACATTTCTACCAAAGATGACTCTCCTCAGCCACGTCAACACAAAGCTACACGTTTCTAGACTGTCTGATGAGATCACGCACTGGAAGGCAAACACGCTGGAAGTGTCTAAGGACCTCCCTGGGCCGTGGGCTCCCTGCGGCGCCTACTCACGTGCTGGCGGGGTCGGTGGGTCCGTCGGTTCGTACTCACCGTGGTCTGTATGAATGTCCGTCGGTTCGTACTCACGTGGTCTATACGTATGCCCGTCGGTTCGTACTCACGTGGTCTGTATGAATGTCCGTCGGTTCGTACTCACGTGGTCTGTACGTATGTCATTCGATTCGTATTAACGTGGTCTGTTGTGTGTATGTCTGTCGGTTCGTACTCACGTGGTCTGTACGTATGTCATTCGGTTCGTACTCACGTGGTCTGTTGTATGTATGTCTGTCGGTTCGTACTCACGTGGTCTGTACGTTTGTCATTCGGTTCGTACTCACGTGCTCTGTATCAATGTCCGTCTGTTCGTACTCGCGTGGTCTGTATGTCCGTCGGTTCGTACTCACGTGGTCTGTATGTATGTCCGTCGGTTCGCACTCACGTGATGGCGTGGTCGGCGGGTCCGTCGGTTCGTACTCACGCGGTCTGTATGGATGTCCGTCGGTTCATATTAACGTGGTATGTATGTATGTCCGTCGGTTCGTACTCACGCGGTCTGTATGTATGTCCGTCGGCTCGCACCCACGTGGTTTGTATGTCCGTCGGTTCGTACTCGCGTGGTCTGTATCAATGTTCGTCGGTTCGTACTCACACGGTCTGTATATATGTCCGTCGGTTCGCACTAACGTGGTCTGTATGTAATATGTATGTCCATCGGTTCGCACTCACGTGATGGCGTGGTCGGTGATCCTCCAGCAGCCGCGCAGCCCCAGCCGCCGGACACGCGGACACTGACAGGAGAGTATGGCCACGGTCCGGTCCGTAGTGGCGTATATTCGGGATATGTCCACCTCCTCCAGACTGGAATACAACGAAACAGCAGGCAGTTAGGACAGCTGATACTGGAACAGAGGTACGGCTCGTGGTGGCGTGTATACGAGATAAGTTGAACATATTATGCTCACCTCCTCCAGACTGGAATAAAGGGATAATAACCGGACCATATAACGATAATACCGTACCGGGATAATGTAAGGATAAAACCGGGATTATACGACAAATGACTACCTCAAGACTGGGAAAAGCGGTAATACCAGGATAATATGGGTATAATACCGGGGTAATACTACCCTGCAACAGAGATAGGGTCGGTGGTGGCGTAAATACGGGATATATTCACCTACTACATAGTGATTCATCGGTATTGAAAGGGGGATAATACCGGTGTATATAAACTCCACTATGTAGACTGCAACAATGCGACGCCACCGTGAAACCGCCGGTTAATGCAAGATATTTTCCCTACATCCTCCAAACTGGAACCAGACATACCTAATACAGATATTTTCTATTCGACACGTCATCCGTAGAACAGTAACTCAGTCTGTCGGCTTCCTGTACTCACTTGGACCGTCCGGTAACTGAATGAATCTGTTTTACGAAGGTTGCTTGTCCTGCGGACGGTCCGGTGTGGCACTCACTTGGGCTGTTCCGAGAACAGCTCGGCCAGCGTGGCGTCGTTGACTCCCCAACAGCTATCCTAAACCCCAGTCTCCTGGGATACCTACTCCTTAGGAAGTCACTCACTTGGGTTGTTCTGAGAACAGCTCGGCCAGCGTGGCGTCGTTGACTCCCCAGCAGCTATCCTAAACCCCAGTCTCCTAGGGTACCTACTCCTTAGGAAGTCACTCACCTGGGTTGTTCCGAGAACAGCTCGGCCAGCGTGGCGTCGTTGACTCCCCAGCAGCCGGCCAGGTCCAGCCGCACCAGGTGCCGGAGGTGGAGATTCAGTACCTGGAGAGCGGACGGAGAGAGCCAGCAGCAGTCGCGCAGCACCAGCTCAGTCAGACCCTGCGGGGTATACAGATACAGTCAGACCCTGTGGGGTATACAGATACAGTCAGACCCTGCGGGCAGCACCAGGTCAGTCAGACCCTGCGGGCAGCAGATACAGTCAGACCCTGCGGGCAGCAGATACAGTCAGACCCTGCGGGCAGCAGATACAGTCAGACCCTGCGGGCAGCAGATACAGTCAGACCCTGCGGGGTATACAGATACAGTCAGACCCTGTGGGGTATACAGATACAGTCAGACCCTGCGGGCAGCACCAGGTCAGTCAGACCCTGCGGGCAGCAGATACAGTCAGACCCTGCGGGCAGCACCAGGTCAGTCAGACCCTGCGGGCAGCACCAGAGGGCTATATTAATTGGTCAGCAATTACTTTTTCCACCGGTAAATAGGATTTATAGACTATCGTTTTGTCAAAAAATAATCGCAGCCGTCTGTTTTTATTGGTGAAACTGGCCTCAGGTCAGTCAAACCCTGCGGGCAGCAGATACAGTCAGACCCTGCGGGCAGCACCAGGTCAGTCAGACCCTGCGGGCAGCAGATACAGTCAGACCCTGCGGGCAGCACCAGGTCAGTCAGACCCTGCGGGCAGCACCAGGTCAGTCAGACCCTGCGGGCAGCAGATACAGTCAGACCCTGCGGGCAGCACCAGGTCAGTCAGACCCTGCGGGCAGCAGATACAGTCAGACCCTGCGGGCAGCAGATACAGTCAGACCCTGCGGGCAGCAGATACAGTCAGACCCTGCGGGCAGCAGATACAGTCAGACCCTGCGGGCAGCAGATACAGTCAGACCCTGCGGGCAGCAGATACAGTCAGACCCTGCGGGGTATACAGATACAGTCAGACCCTGTGGGGTATACAGATACAGTCAGACCCTGCGGGCAGCACCAGGTCAGTCAGACCCTGCGGGCAGCAGATACAGTCAGACCCTGCGGGCAGCACCAGGTCAGTCAGACCCTGCGGGCAGCACCAGGTCAGTCAGACCCTGCGGGCAGCAGATACAGTCAGACCCTGTGGGCAGCAGATACAGTCAGACCCTGCGGGCAGCAGATACAGTCAGACCCTGCGGGCAGCACCAGGTCAGTCAGACCCTGGGGGCAGCAGATACAGTCAGACCCTGGTGGCAGCAGATACAGTCAGACCCTGTGGGCAGCAGATACAGTCAGACCCTGCGGGGCAGTAGATACAGTCAGACCCTGTGCGGGGAAGCAGATACAGTCAGACCCTGCGGGCAGCACCAGGTCAGTCAGACCCTGCGGGCGGCACCAGCTCAGTCAGACCCTGCGGGCAGCACCAGGTCAGTCAGACCCTGCGGGCAGCAGATACAGTCAGACCCTGTGGGCAGCACCAGGTCAGTCAGACCCTGTGGGGCATGGGATACAGTCAGACCCTGTGGGGCATCCAGATCAGTGTCAGAAAAGTGGCCCGTTTCTAAGTTTTCTTGAACTCGGAAGATTTGTTCTGCGAAAAGTCTTGACTAAAGTAAAGCAATTTTTGTTCTGTGAGCAAACGTTCCCTAAACAGATGGCCAATGATTTTTGTGTAACAAAGTACCTCTACCCATCTATGTCAGCACTTAGGCACTATCAGGCTTGATGGAGCATTTCACAATGGGTTACTTAACAAAAACCCAACTGCCTGCCCACTTTGACTGATTTTTCTTCTTCAGCAGATTAAGCCATCTCTCTCCAGTCTCCATGGCTACTGAATGAAGACCTGGACTCCTGAATAGAATGCAGTACAAACTACTGACCTACTCCCAAGAACCAGCACCACCTGCTACTCTAAGTTCACCAGCTGACAGCTGTTGGCAAAACTTTCACTGGTAACCTTGTCCCTCACAATAACTGGTATTAGATTGGCAGCCTGAAGCCCATAAACTGTGATGTGTTATGAACAGGTGATCTGTGAATGGTTATCACACAGTGTGTGCATTAAAAATTAATCCTGCATTTTTTAATGCAAATGTTGAAAATTTTGTCACTCTTTCAACATCTGGTTCAACATGTATGATATGAATGAAGGACTACACAGCATGCAGGAGCTGGAAATGGGCAATGCCCCAATGGATATGCAGACTTAACGTAATCAGGTGAGATAAACCTGAAAAGCTCGATTTCATATCCATATTGGCATGCAGTGCCTACAAAGTAGTGAATGCTTTAAAAAAAATTAGCTGACAGGCAACAGCAGTTCAAGTTAATAACGTAGTCAGGTGAGATAAACCTGAAAAGCTTGATTAATTTACACATACACTGGTCTGAGAAACAACACTACCAAGCTAGTCAGTAGTAAATGGGCAATGCCCCAAATGGATATGCAAACTTTACGTAGTCAGCATGGGCGTAACCACCGCGCTGGAACGCTGGAAATTCCAGCCCATTTTTGGGATGCTGAAATGCCGCCCCTGGTAGAGGAAGTCTGCAATTGGGGGGTTTAGTTTAGGGACTTCAAAACGAAACAAAAGAAACGGCACTGCTCGGTCCACTATACGCCTGACCTCAACGTGCCGTTCCTCACTAAAATACCTAACCTCTATACATGCCGCCCCTCCCAGATGCCCTGCCGCCCCTTCGCACCGACTCTTCCTCAATTTCCTCGGAGCTCTCTGTGTCGCCCCTTACAGAACCCCACCGTCCTCAATGTGCCGCCCTTCCGCATAATGCTCTATCGCCGTCTGTGCCACCCTCCCCAGATGACTTGCCGCCCCTTCCCAGAGTACCTCGGCGCTCTCTATGTGCTGCCCTCGCCACAACTTCCCGCCGCCCTCAATAAGCCGCCCCTCCCCACAATGCTCTATCTAGCAGTCGACGCCGCGCTCCCAAGGCACCTTGCTGCACCGCTACGTGGCGCCCCTCCCCAGACACCTTTCTGCTCTTACACGCCTCCCTTTCCCAGAACGTTTTATGATCCGTCCCTCCCTATAACGCTGTATTATTTCACGTACGTACCTATCTATTATCCAGGGGCGTAGACAGGGGGGCCACTGGACCATGCCCAGCACCATTTGCGATTGAAGGCGCCGAAGGCGCCCTCCAATCGCGAATATGTTTACAGGGAAAATGCGGTTGGAGGGCGCCGGAGGGCGCCCTCCAACCGCTTTGTAGGCTGTAGCGCTCTAATCGTAGTGGTAGTCGCCAATTTAAGCCTGTTGATCGCAGCCGTCCTACCTACTGGCGCCCTCATTTTGATCGGAATACCCCTACCTATTGGCGGCCTCCTATAAATCGGCGCCCTTACCCAAAGGCGCCCTCCTGTAGGTCGCCGCCCCGCTATCCGTTGGCGCCTTTCGGCTGGTCGGCACCCTCCTACCTACTGCGCCCTCCTGTAGAATTTTGATTGCCGCCGTCCTCCGTTCTGGCATCCTCTTGTTGATCGCCGCCCTCCTACCCATGTGGCGCCCTCCGTGGCTCCCTCTTGTTGAGTGTTGATCGGAACCCTCCTACCTTTTGGCACCCTCGTGTTCCCTCCTACCCACTGGCGCCCTTCTGTTGATCACCGCGCCATCCTACCCACTGGTACCTTCCTGTTGATCGCAGCCCTACTCATGCAGGCGCCCTCCTGTTCAATGTCACCCTCTTGGGCGAAGGCGCCCTCCTCACCATTGCCGCCCTCCTGTTGATCGTCAACCTTGCGCCCATTGGCGACTTCCTGTTAATGATCGCCCTCCTACCTATTGACGACCTGCTGTTGATTGCAGTCATTCTGCCTATTGGCGACCTCTTGTTGATCGCCACCTTCCTATCTATTGGCGCTCTCCTGTTCCTCGCCGCCCTCTTACCTGGTGGCACCTACTTGTTGATTGTCGATCGGGCCCCTCCGTCCTATTGGCGCCCTCCTGTTGATCGCCGCCCTTCTACCCATTGGTGAACTCCTGTTAATCGCCGCCCTCCTACCTTTTGGCGCCCTCCTGTTGATCGCCGCCCTTCTACCCATTCGTGACCTTTTGTTGATTGCCATCATCCTACTCATTGGTGCCCTCTTGCTGATCACCGCCCTCCAGATAATAAACATTCTTCTGTTTTTCGGTGCTCCCCCACCTACTGGCGCCTTCCAGGTGAATGTTGGCCGGGGCCCTCCTTCCTATTGGCGCCCTCCTGTTAATTGCCGCCCTTCTACCCATTGGCACCCTGCTGCTGCTTGCTACTAGCCTACCTATTGGTGCTCTCCTGTCGAATGTCTATCAGGGCTCTCCTATCTTTTGGCGCCTTCCTTTAATGCTGATCGGGGGTCCTCCTATTTGGCGCTCTCCTGGACCTGATGATCGCCGCCCTCTCAGTCATTGGTGCCTTCCTGTCGATCGCAGCCCTTCTACCCATTGGCGACCGCTGTTGATCGCTGCCCTTCATTTATCTACGTTTCCCAGCGTGCCGCTCTCTTTCACATATTTGATGCCTTGCCTGTCGAAACTCCCACAGATGAGCGTGCATTCAGCACAATGAATGAAGTAAACCAAAACTCTACGCTCTATGCATGAAACCCGTCTTGGTCTTAGCAGATTGATCTTACAATTATGACATTTAGGTACAGGGATTAGGTATGATAAAGAAGTTAAAGGGACTATCCCACCTTTAACATGGGGTTTGAGTTGAGATAGCCAAGTTTGCGGCGAGGTTCAGAAACCACTATCTACAGGGTGTTTCACAATAAATGTTACTTTTGAGTAGCTTAAATGAAGATCTTACTTGTTCGTAAGCGCGTAAATTTTATATGCATTTTGCTGCAAATTTGTTGCGGTTTTTAGTCCTTATATGTTTTTTTTTACAAACTGTCAGCGGTTCCATCTGTATGGACGTGCAATGCCAACACCGTCAAAACGGGTCAATTCGCCGTGTACAGATGATGAGGCGGTATGGGTGGTTATGCATTACGGCGCTTTGCGGAGTCTGACCGCAGTGCGACGGAGTTTCGGTAGCCATTTTAAAAGGAGGAAGGATATTCCATCAAAAATGTATTTCAAAAGGGTGGAAGAAAGGTTCCAGAAGACTGGAAACACGAGACC